CTTCCAAGGAGCATTCTGGCTGCACTTCCTCCAGGACAGATCTGTTAGTTCTTTTAGCAGTCCATGGTACTTTCAGCATTCTTCGTCAGCACCACAACTCAAAAGCCTCAACTCTTCTTCGGTCTTCCTTATTCATTGTCCAGCTCTCACATGCATATGAGGCGATTGAAAATATCATGACTTGTGTCAGGCGCACCTTAGTCCTCAAGGAGACATCTTTGCTCCTCAGCACTTGAACGAGGTCCTTTGCAGCTGACTTGCCCAGGGCTGTACGTCGTCTGATGTCCTGACTGCTGCCTCCATTGGCGTCGATTGTAGAACCAAACAATGTGAGGTCTCTGACAACTTCAATCTTTTCTCCATTTGGTGTGATGCTGCGTATAGGTCCAGTTGTGAGGATTTTTTTTTTTTTTAATTGAGATGTCATCCATCCTGCAGACTGTATTCTTCAATCTTCATCAGTAAGTCCCTCAAGTCATCCTCACTTTCAGCAAGCAAAGTTGTGTCGTCAGCATATCACAGGTTGTTAATGACTCTTCCTCCAATCCTGATGCCACGTTCTTCATATAGTCCAGCTTCTCAGATTATTTGCCCAGCATACAGATTGAATAAGTGTGGAGAAAGGTTACAACCCTGATGCACTCCCTTGATTTTAAACCATGCACTGTCCCCTTTTTCTGTTTGAATGACAGCCTCCTGGTCAATGTACAGGTTCCTCATGAGTACAATTATGTGTCCTGGAATTCCCATTCTTCTCAGTGTTATCCACAATTTGTTATGATCCACACAATCAATGTTTTTGCATAGTCAGTAAAACAAACATCTTTCTGGTATTCTTTGCTTTGAGCCAAGAGCCGTCTGACATCAGCAGTGATATGCCTTGTTCCACGTCCTCTTCTGGATCCAGCCTGCACCTCTGGAAGTTCTGTGTCAGTATACTGCTGCAGCTGTTTTTGAATTATCTTCAGGAAGATTTTACTTTCGTGCGATGTTAATGATATTGTTCGATAATTTCCACATTCTGTGGAATCACCTTTCTTTGGAATGGGTACAAATATGGATCTCTTCCAGTCAGCTGGCCAGGTACCTGTCTTCCAAATCTCTTGGCATAGCCGAGGGAGTGCCTCCAGCCGTTTGTTGAAACATCTCAGCGGGTATTCCATCAATTCCCGGAGCCTTGTTCTCTGCCAATTCTTTCAGTGCAGCTTTGACTTCTTCCTTCATTACCATTGGTTCTTGATCATATGCCACCTCCTGAAATGGATGAAGATCGACCAGTTCTTTTTGTTACAGTGACTCTGGATTCCTTCCATCTTCTTTTGATGCTTCCTGCATCATTCAATATTTTACCCGTAGAATCACTCAATATTGCAACTCGAGGCTTAAATTTTTTCCACAGTTCTTTCAGCTTGAGAAATGCCAAGCGTGTCCTTCCCTTTTGGTTTTCAGACTCCAAGGCTTTGCACATTTCATTAGAGTAATTGGCTTTGTCTGCTCCGGCTGCTCTTTGAAATCTGTTCAACACTTTTATCTTGTCATTTCTTCATTTGCTTTAGCTACTCTCTGCTTAAGAGCAAGTTTCAGAGTCTCTTCTGCCATCCATTTTGGTCTTTTCTTCTTTTCTCATCTTTTTAATGACCTCTTGCTTTCTTCAAGGGGCTCTCATGGTGTAGTGCCTAAGGCACTTGACTGCTAACCAGAAGGCTGGCAGTTCAA